AAAGTATTTTTCTGCTGGATACCCATGGCCTGCACATATCGAAGCTTCGGTGGAGCTGCCATTCCCCTTCCTGATCAGCTAGCTATATGGAATGATAGTGGACTGCACAAATGGAACATGAAGGTAAATGAAACAAATTTATAGAACAAAACACCTATATTTTACACAATCCTGGTCTACACAAGTGCTTTAAAGGTACATGGGTTGCTTGAGCTCCCACATGACCATGCCAGAGACCAGGCTGGCCTGACATTCAAGAGGAAACAAAGATAATCCAGATCCAAGCCCAAGCATTATAGAGCTGTACAGAAGCCTAGCAACTCCCAGTGCTGCCAACTCTCACAATTTTATTGCCTGTATCATAATATTTGGTGTTTTTTCACAAACTCTCAGCTCCTGGAGTCATGTTTTCATTAAAAACGGAAGTTTCTAATCCTTGTGTTTGCTGAGGAAAGTCTAAAAATATAAACTTGAAAGGCTCAAAGAAACAAAAACCAAATAGAAGGAACACATTTATTATTTTTTAAAATATCAAGATTTTTAAGTCTAATCTTATGATTTTGAGGAGATGACAGCTCTAGCACTGTAGTAATCTCATACACAGCACTAGCATGGAAGACAGGACAAGAACCCGATGGTCTTTTTTTCTTAAAGCTAATAAAAAGGTTGAGGATTTTGTTTTGGAGGGGTTTTACTCTCCCACTTCTCCCCTGATTCCTAGAGACTGGTGCAGGGCCCACCTACAAAAAACAGACTCCTTTCCTTTCTCATTACTCCCATTGCCATCTATTTGGTGAAGTCATGCGAGGAACATTTTAATCCCAATTGGTCCCTTCCCTTACACCTGTTTCAGGAAGCAGCCCCCTCAAGAGTCCTCCCAAGTGTATTGACATCAGGCAAGCAGGCAAGAACCAACCCCATCTCATCACATCATCATTCCTGCAGTCAGTCAGCATGAAGTTTGTGACTCTCCCTCCCCAGCCCCAGAAAGAAAGTCAGACTTAGGTGATAGCATATAGACAAAATGGGCTTTACTTGATTGGTCCTGGCTATCTGAAAGAGAATCTCTCCCTCCACCTCATGACAGCAATATTCCAGTGAAACCACTGACCAAGAGGCTAACTTGGTTCCTCCCCGTGAAGTTAAAGCATCTATATATAGGCTTATGAAACTTAGGAGGGGGAATTACAACAAAAAAGCTATCTATAAATGTTTACATCTCCTACATCATTTGTACACTTGGTTATACCAAGATCGACATGAACACAAGGTATAAAATAAATCAAAGTTGAGAACAGTTAAACTTCTGGTGTGCTGATACCACTGCCCAACATACTGACCAAAGTTGTCTCACTGTTTCCTGGTACTGCCCCATCTGTTGTCTCTTGTCTTATACTTGGATTGTAAGCTCTTTGAGGGCAGGGGCCACCTTTTTGCTCCATGTTTGTACAGCACCGACGACTATGGGCCCCTGGTCCCTGCTGGGGCTCCTAGGCATTATGATCATACAAATAATAATTAATAATAAAATTCAAATGAGAGTGTTTTAGGAATGGGATATTAGCAATTTTTTACACAATTCTGCTGTGTTTGTTTGCCCAAAACTCAAGCCACTTAAGTGCACAAGGCAAGCAAGATCAGGCTTTGTGCAACACCACAAGAACAAATCTATTTTCAGAGGTTGATGTTGCTACGTCTACAGAAATATGGGAACCGACTCATTCACGACTTGTGAAATTCTGAGGCTGCTAAGCCCAGTCCACTGGCATGTTGTGTCCCCTTATAGCAGAGTACAGACTCTCACAACCGCTACATCCTTTCTCGCTCCCAGTCAGCTGCCTCTCAGTTTTGTTGCTGGGAACAGAGAGGACATCCACATCACCTTTAAGTGGTTAAACACATAATATATTTTTATGAGGTGAAATTTGTGCCGGTTGTATTTTTATAAACCTCAAAAACAGATGCAACACCACTGTGTTTTATTAAGCCCAGCGCCTACCCAGACAGATTTTTACACATCTATTTGTGATGCCCATCCTCTGCTATAACTTCCATAATGAGAGGTGTTTATTTCTGCCCACCGATGGATCAGTTCTGTTATTGTTAATTGTCGTTTACCATAAGTATATTCCCTTCTTCTTTGCTGGATTTTCCAATACAGCCTCTCAATATTTCCAGTATCTGTGATGTCAACAAGTGTTCCAACACATACAGAATGTTTGGGCAGGGGCACATCTTGTGTACATACAAGCATGATTATTAACTATGCATCTTTTTTCTGCAAGTCCCCATTCTTCATCTGGAATTCTTGAAATTATTGAAGTTAGCTCATGGCTACCTGAAAATGTCAGTGAGATTTTAAATTATTTTTCCTTTCTAATTTCCCCGCCCCATGACATGCTGTAACTCAAAGTAGCACCCTGTAGCCCCCATATCCATCATTCCTAAATGGTTGCGATATTTCATATAAAGCATGCCATGTAAGATATCGTATGAAAGGTGATGATCTGCTGAAACCCACTGTTCTGTATAGCATTAGCATGTATGAAGTTATGAGATTTTGCTGTATAGTTGTTATTGAAATATGTTGTAAGTTTGGGAGTTGTCCACTGTTAGTTTTCCAGTGACAACAAAGGGGCGGGCGTTGAAAGATCATCATGATCGTTAATCAGCTGGGGAGCTGTAAACAAAGGATCTGTAATTCTGTAAGAGAGTTGCGCAAGCATCACACAATGGGGCACTGCTCAACTCTATGTCTCAGCAAAGCCCACCAGGACTTGTCTGGGATAATATTTTCCATTTTTCAGGCACATGGACTGAGGGTATAAAACAAGGGGCAGTGGCATCATGCAACTACTTGTCTCCTCCTCCACCTACGCTGGAAGTGACAAGAACGCTGGGAGAAAAAGGACTTGAACTGAGAAGACTGGTCCTAGGCTTAAAGGGAAAACCTGTGTATTAAGAATTGTAACCTATCTGCAACATCTAGTGGGATAAGAAAAACCGCTTGATCCAAATAGTGCCTAATCTAACAAGGTTTAAGATTTAGACTGTGCGCTTACCTTTTATTTTCTTTGGTAACTAACTCTGACCTTTTGTGCCTGCCATTTATAGTCACTTAAAATCTATCCTTCAATAGTTAATAAATCTGGTTTATATTTAACCGAAAACAGTGTGTTTTGGTTGAAGTGCTTGCGAAATATTTCAGCTCAGTTTACAAAGGCTAGTATGTATCCTCTCCACATGGAAGGAGGAGTGGACTGGGTAATAAACGAACACTGGTCAGGCTTCTGACAGGGGCAAGATGGTTTATTCCGGGGGTGCAATACTGAGGACTTAGGAGATTTGCTGGTGTCTTTCTCTGTGTGATTTGTGAGTGGCTCAGGGAGCATTGATACAATTTATCTGGGTGTGTGGTTCCACATGCTGTTGTACTGAGTGACGACAACATCTGGAGGGCTTTGCTGCTTGTCACTAGCAAAGCATTGAGAGAGAAAGCCCAGTCTGGAAAGTTAAGGGGACACAATGGTACCCCAGTTCCAAGATGTATCCCGGGATCCCATCACATCTCCTCAAACAAACTTATTTTTACATCACAATAAAAAAATAAAGCAACATTAGAGGCTAAATATCCCAATGGTCCAAACAAACCAAATACAGACTCATCGCTGCTACTTCATCTTTAACTCACTTTGCTGTCCTTTGGAGTCTCAACACAGTGGATGGTAGATGGTGTTACATACCCTATGTGTTGCAGAGTGTTAACAGGTCATGTTAAGGCTATAGTGTGAGCCTTAACCCTGCATTTCCTTGTATTCGTAAGTTTGTATCTCAACCTTAAAATTATCTTTAACACATATTCACAGTGTATTTGTCTAAAAACCCTCTAGAGTTGCAAGTTACTCTCCCAACTGTCCTCCAAAATCTTAAACCAGTGCCAAAGCTTATTTTCTTAGCTTAAAGAAATAATTTTAGGGTTGTCAACTGATAAATTTCATTCAGGAAAATGCCATGTTCTTTATGTAACAAATTAATCTTCACTGAACTATGAATGGTAAACATAAATGTCTAAATGCACAGATTTTACATGTTGGTGCCAGGAAAGAGGTTTAGAAGAATTATCCCCTTTTTAGGTAATCCAGCTTTTAAAATTACACCCTGGAATATGCAAACAAAGATGACTAATGAACTCAGCAGCCCATATGTTTGGTGGAGGTTGCTGAAAAGTTATGGCATGTAATGGAAAGAGACTCATTTTTCAAACCTTCTATGTAACTACCTGTGTGGGGTGAGGAGGGGGAGAATCTTCCTTCGACCTTGGTTATAACAGTTTGTTATGAAAACTCATTTCCTTTCTATTATCAGAGAACATCCTACAAAGGGCGTGTTTTCTATATCACCTTGTAAGCATCATCCAAGCACCAGGGAGAGTTTCTCTCTCCTCTTCTAATCAAATATATGGTTTTACGTGAAATGTTTGAGCATTGCTGTTACCTGCTGTCCTGCTCCTCCTGCACAGCCGTTACAGCAGTGACTCTGACTGTCAACTTAGATAGCAGTTCACTCAGCAGAGCTTACCCAGGGTTTTTATCTAGCTTTCTGCTATTGAAAAGAACACAGCACACACAGGATGACATAAGAACAGCTTACGGTGCAAATGCAAGTGTCCAATACCACAAGCACTGGATGCTTTAAAAACAGCAATGAATAAATCACTAATAAATAGTGTTCTCATTCCCAAGTTATGACTTTCTGCTGTGAGGTGACCAACACCAATTGCCCTTTTCAAGCACATTACTAAATAAGAATCAACATGACATTCCCCCTGTAACTATACACAGAATAACCACACTCCCAAAAACATCCTGAAATATCAGGCAGTGCTACTTATTAGCCAGAACACGTATCCCAGGTCCTGCTTATTGATGCAGTGCCCTCAAAGGGCAGCACACAGGCAAGGACACAAAGTAAATGTGACACCGAACTAGCTAATTACTTACCTTCAAGCTTCTTGTTTTAATTCTGTTTCCTCCCAGTCAGAGCTTGGAGCAAGACTATTAGGACTTGCCAAGAGGAGATTAAACCTGACAGTGAAAAAAAACCAAACTTTGTTTAAAGGCAAAAATCTGAAATAAAATTGCCTTCAGTTCAGGCAGTGATTTCGCTCTCCCTCTCCCCTCTCTCCAGGGCTGCTACGTAGTGGTCTATAAATATTGGCCCCAACACTTGCTCAATGCTGTACTTGCTCATGGCACAGGTCTGTGTTACTGTACACCGTGGTATTACTCAGATGAAGTTCTCAGCTGCTCAGACAAAGCCATGGATTGGCTCTCTACCCTGCAACATTCTGTCTGCCTGGAAATACCATTTTGCTGCCAGATTTACAGATGCTGTGAGCCTTTCCTGGAGGCCCAAATCAGGCACAAAAGGGTACTTATGAGCCTTGTCTGAAGAAATATAGCTTTCTGCAAGCAGGTGGAAAAAAAGGGAGGGGAAAGAGGGAGGAACTACCTTTATTTTGGCCAAACAAACAGCATAATCTCAAACCCCCTTTACAGTGCTTTATATCCAAAATATTATTCAGCAAAGATCATAAAATTACTGCATAATGTGGATGTCAAAAATTTCTGGAAAAGCATTTTCTTTAAAACTAACTTCTTGAATAAAAACAATAATGTGTTTTTCATAGACTTAAAGGTGTGCAGACATTTCATAATTGGCAGTAAAGCACCAAAAGAACACTGAGTATATTTTCAGTGTGATGGAAATATACATCTTAAAGGGACCTCTGAAAATATTTGCCAACCCAGGTCAGATGCTTGGTACCCAAGACTCAGAGTGATGTTAATATACAGCACGAACAAATTAACAAAAGATACTAACAAAGATATCAACCCAAGAGCTGGCTGAAGAATGGCACTTTCATTCCAAGGAGGTTTTCAAAATCTGGTTTCATTCTGGTTAGGAACAAAAACAAGCACTTCTAAATTCTCTGTGAAATACATTCACCTCTCTCCACCCAGCCCTACTGGAAGCCCCAGCCTTCCAGGCAGACTACCTTAGAGTGAGGGACCCTGGAAGCCCCGACTTTGAAGCAACCCATCTGGCAGGCTGTCCCAGAGTCAGGGAGACTGGACACCTGGGCAGCCAAGAAACTGGGATCCTGGGAACCAGGACTCCCAGGGCTTCCAAGCTCCTGGTCCCCTGTCAACTCGTTAGGTGGGCTGCCAAGGAACTGGGCAGACGATCTGGCAAGAAACTAGGCAGGTTTTGAAACCTGTTTTTTATTGAAATTTCATTGAAATCAACAAGGTCCTGCAGAACTTTTTGGTTTTGATGGTCTGGCAAATTCCAGTGAAAAAATGTTTTGACTACATGCTTCCAACCAGCTCTATTATATACTTGTGGGTATCGTTTAAAAAAAAAAGTCTCGTCAACATCAATCGTGCCACATTGTTTTACTTTTCTGCCATATTCTTTATGACTTTATACAAGACCACGATTCCTATTGCACTGCTGTACAGGGAGTGTGGAAGATCCATGGAGCCCCTTAAGGTTCGGCAAGCACCATTTCCTGAGCACTGGAGGTGACCTATACTGCACACCCCAAAGGTGCAAGGACCTAGAAGGCAGAGGACTAGGAAACTACTGCTGCACACCTGTGAGGATGGGGAGGTGCTACACCTTAAGGGCATAGCAGCCTATTCCAGTACCTCCAGAGGCATTATGCCTGTCTTTACCATATGCAGATACGTTTCCAATCACTACTGGTTGGCTGCTACATATCTGACCACGCATCCCAGTCCACCTCCAGTGGTATGAAGCCATAACTTGGGTTTTCAAATGGGAAATACTACAGTAAGTGTAAGTAGCATGTGTGGTGGTGATTGATTTGAATTATAAATATACTCCCCACTATGAATGGTCACCACTTTTCCATGACACACGCATGCCTTTACTGAGACACCCCCTCAACGTTTTTTATTAACACAAAGGTTTCAGCTAAAGTTAATGGGAGTTTTAGGAAGTAAAACCTAACACAACAGGCCCAATCTGATTTGACCCTCTAGGTAGTAATAGACTAAAAATAATAATAGTCTGCAGGATTTTGGTTCACCTTGCAATCATGATGTTTGACATAACTTATGAGTGTGGAGTTTTCATCAACCCACACCCTCACACCACATTCACTTTTATTTTTTTAAGATGCAGCTCATAAGGTTGATTTTTGTGTGTGCCTTCATTCTTTTATTACTACATAGGCATGAAAAATTAGGCTTCTCATTAGTCACTTGCTGATATGGTACAGATATTGCTTCTGTTTGTTAGAAAACCTCATTTTAGGAAGCTCTTCATTGATACCACAGCACCATTTTCCTTTTTTAAAAAATGTGAATTGTGCTTCCATGAGTAATCACTAACCCTTGGTGAGCTGCCAGAAGGAAGCTTTTGAAACTAATTTGCTTGTTGTAAGTTTCTCATTGCTAAAAGTACTGCCCAGAGCATAAATGCATTTAACTGGATGTGACAGTATCATTATGTCATACAGTCAACCTTTAAGCAGCCACAAACAACTCCCTGGATAACCAGAAAAACAAACAATGGCTTAATAAAATCAAGCAAGCTACTTAACTACGAAGCACAGCTTGCCACGGAGTGTAAGACGGAAAACATATTCTTGAACATCTATAGCTTTAGATCTTCTTGACCTTCTATCGTTTTAGAACGATACATTGTGTTAGTGACTGACACAAGAGAAGCCAGCATTCACACAACATAAAGCACCACAGTCATCCATGTTTCTCTACCACTGGAAACCAACACACAGTGCTATTAACCATTAACATGCCATTTAATAGATAAAACTGAGACATATGAACAAAAATTAAGAGCAGGAAACCATAAAAGTGATAGAAATAAACGGTGTTAGAAAAAGCTGAATTTTTAATAAAACATTCTGAAAGGTCCAAAAGCAGTTCATGAACTACACAGCAATAGCACCACTCATGTTAGCCCACTGCTGAAGGCCAGCTGCCAAGGAGACGACAAGGGTACAGAAATCTGCACAAAGACACAGAGTGTGTGGTGTGCCAGGGTGTGGTGTGGGCTTAGGTGTCATTTTAGCCAAAGGTACTGGGGCAAATTCCTAATTCTTTTACTAAAATGCGGTGGGATCGAAATCCATGCAAACATACAAAACCTCTGTAAGGTCCCATTTGTGCTTGAGAAGGCACTGACTGATTAGTCTTCGCTTCCAAGCAGGGTTCATTCAACTGCCAAGAATAAAGGCTTGCCATTCCCAACTAGTACGTGGAGGAGTTGATCACTGAGCTTGAGAAACAAGGTTTTATTTACTTAATCCCCATCCAGCACTCAAGCAGCTGGTTATCCTGATCCTCGTCAAGAGAATTATGGTGCAGAGAATTTGAGAACCATGCCCCACAGCGGAATGAGTCGTTGTTATTTTCCCGCTCTTGCAAGGTATCATGGCTGCCTTTTCTTATTTAACTAAAGGAGAAACAAATCCTCTACTGGCTTTTCTGTTAGACACAATTGCTGCTGTATTCAAATCTCATATCTGCGTATACACAACATATAAATTGGGCATTCATTTGGGTACCACAGGAATGCTTCTTTGAGCTACTGAATACCTCCAGCCAAATCTTTACTGACAAGAGAAGTTTGGGCCTGTTATAGGATAATAACAAGGGCAAGAGAACACACTGGAGGAAGCCTCAATAAACTGACAGAGCTATGATTTGGATTCCTTCATATATCAACCGCAACTTACTCATGAAGTCATTGAAACTAACCACATCGCACAGAGCTGAGCATGTGCACAAGTCATTGCCCAATCAGGGCCTATAGTTTGTAAAAGTAGTGACCTGTAGTCATCAGTGACATTGAAAAAGAAAAGTGAAGGTTGCATTATCACCTTTTACTTGCATTTCGGAAGCTTAAATAAGTCTTTGTGATTTAAAAATGTATTAATCTCTGGAATAATGCTCCTTTAGTTGAAGATCTCAAAATTTAATCATGTGACCCAGCACCAAAACCTGAATTCTATCACTCTTAACAGTTGGACTGACTAGATTCACCTAAAAGGTGATCAATCGTTTCAGCACTTCAAGAAAGAAATTAATGAAAATGAAAGAAATTAATACCTTAAAATCATATAGGATGGCACATAATCAGGACAGCATGTGGATAAAAGCGTACACGCAAAATTCTCAGTTATCCATTCCTTCTAGGTCTGGCAGCCTTTTATGGGCTTCTACAATATGGAAACAAGATTCTTTTTAAAAATCTTTTTTTTAAATATATGTAATGGTCCTTGTTGTTAGTGTTAAGTAACATTTTTAAATGAAAAACTGCTGGTATATTGACTTCAGCTTATTTGGGAGGGGAAAAGAGGAGGAATGATTTGCATAATTGAGAAAAGCAATATAAGGAAAAATTGTTTCCAGTAATACTATAAAACCAGAAGACTGTAACAGAGAATAAGAACAGGATTTAGCCAACAAGCCTGGGTTTGGCAAATGAAAACTAGTTAACATGTTGAAAAATTTCAAACATTCTATATATTTTTTAAACATCTTATTCCATTTTCTTTTATTACCTTTGCTAGGATACTGTAAATCCATGCTAAAAATTCTAATATATTGAAAAAAAGTTCAGAATTTGGCAACAACAAAAGCACCCAGAATATTCTTGGAAACTGTCTTTACAAACTCTACTTCCATAGGGAAATTAAATCACCCCTAAGTTAAATACCCCTTTATATATGTGCATCTGCCTTTCAAAGTGCCAACTGTTAGCTGGGTCTTCTCATTCTCTGTAATGAAGTAAGAAAGTTAAGAGACTACAATTTTAGCTGTGTTTAATGAAGAGTCCCACCCCCAGAAAAGATTCCTCTCAAATAGAAAGAATATTCTAATAGAGATTATGGGCCCGATCCTGCAAAATACTTGGAACTCATTTAAAGATATCTAATTTAGAGACAACTGCAGCCATGTGAAGAACTATTGTGTTACCTTTCAATATCTCATTGTAATCTGATAATTTAACAAGTACAAGTTGATCT